AGGGGGTTATGGGGACTCCAGTCTTCACAGCTCTCAGCGCTGCGCCCCGCTTCTCGCAAGGGGTCATACATGCATACGGCTTGTGAGGGTTTAGGGTTTAGGGTTTAGGGTTTAGGGTTTAGGGTTTAGGGTTTGCGGTCAGGCTGAAGCTCTGANAGGGTTTAGGGTTTAGGGTTTAGGGTTTAGGGTTTAGGGTTTGTGTTCAGGCTGCGCACCGCAAGCCCCTCCTCGGCCTACAAGCCAGCAAGAATGGGCGGCGCTTCTAGTAACAAAACCCTAAACCCTAAACCCTAAACCCTCAGAATCCTGTAGAGTGTTGGCGGCAGACAGTGCAGTAGCAGCGGCTCGCTCTTGTGGTCCTAGGGTTTAGGGTTTAGGGTTTAGGGTTTAGGGTTTAGGGTTTACAGGCGGAGAGAGAAACAACAATTCAGGAGCTCAAGGAGACAAACGCTATACTAGCAGCAAAAGCAGAAAGCCTACAAAAGCTGCTGCAGCTGCGGGTACTCTCTAAACCCTAAACCCTAAACCCTAAACCCTAGTTTTTAGCTGAGACGCCCCTCGCTTGCTGCGTTGCTGCTGACTGAGCTTCGGGTCTACTGTCTAGGGTTTAGGGTTTAGGGTTTAGGGTTTAGGGTTTGGTGCTTGTGCTGTAGGATGCTAAGATAGAGCTACTAACGAAAGCTTTACAGGCCGCCGCAGCCCCTCTCGCTGAACAAACCCTAAACCCTAAACCCTAAACCCTAAACCCTAGCTGTTGCTCTGCTCTTCTTCTTTTGGCTACCCCCAAACCCTAAACCCTAAACCCTAAACCNTAAACCCTAGCTGTTGCTCTGCTCTTCTTCTTTTGGCTACCCCCAAACCCTAAACCCTAAACCCTAAACCATTTATCTTCACTCGGAGACGTTCTCGTCTTCGGATCCAATCTGCAACGAATCATCACATGCTTGAGGGTTTAGGGTTTAGGGTTTAGGGCTTAGGGTTTAGTCGGCTTTGAGTTGTTACGAGTTTAGGGTGTTTTTAGGGTTTAGGGTTTATGTTTTCCTTTGTCTGTGTTTGAAATTTGCTTTCTAGAAATAGAAAAATAGGGTTTAGGGTTTACACTTTAGGGTTTAGGGTTTAGGGTTTAGGGTTTATGAGGGTTTAGGGTTTATGAGGGTTTAGGGTTTACGAGTTGTTCTTTGGATGTGAGTGAAATTCCTTTAAGAAATTCTTTGTTTACATCTATTTGTCTCTGTCGCTTAAAATATAAATAAAAAAAAATAAAACAAACGCTCAGAAGCAAACAACAAAAAGAGAACAAAGCTAGGCCTGCATCACACACATATACATCAGGGTTTAGGGTTTAGGGTTTAGGGTTTAGGGTTTAGGGTTTAGTGGTTTGAGGGTTTAGGGGACAGGCTCTGCTACAACACCCAAATGCGCAGACAGTCGTCGCCGGACGTCACCAGCGATGCCTAGGGTTTAGGGTTTAGGGTTTAGGGTTTACAGAGCTTCTAGAGTATATTTATTNCGTCACCAGCGATGCCTAGGGTTTAGGGTTTAGGGTTTAGGGTTTACAGAGCTTCTAGAGTATATTTATTGCAGCCCCATCAGGGTTTAGGGTTTAGGGTTTAGGGTTTAGGGTTTAGGGTTTACAGGGTTTCCATATCCGCGTTGCATATCGCAGGCCGATGGCGCTGGCAGCGCACCACATCCCGAAGACTGTAAACCCTCACAAACCCTCACAAACCCTAAACCCTAAACCCTCGCAAACCCTAAACCCTCAAAAACCCTAAACCCTCAAAAACCCTAAGCCATTCAATACCTACAAAACTATAATTGAGGGTTTAGGGTTTAGGGTTTCTGGCTACTAAGTGTTGGAGTATGAGCATGTGCAAGTAGGGTTTTCTAGGGTTTATGAGAGTTTAGGGTTTAGGGTTTATGAGGGTTTAGGGTTTAGGGTTTACCGAAAGACATAAAGAGTGTTATTTCTGTTGTTGTTGGAGCTGCTTCTTGCGCTACTGGGTCATCGCTGAGTAGCATAAACACAAACCCTAAACCCTAAACCCTCGCAAACCCTAAACCCTAAAAACCCCTAAACCCCCCCAAAAAACCCTAAACCCTCGAAAACCCTAAACCCTTGTTGAATGAAAATCCTGCTGAGAAAACGGTTTCTGCTGAAATCTGTGTCAGTGTTTCGTGAAACCCTCTCTAGGGTTTAGACTCTAGGGTTTAGGGTTTAGGGTTTAGGGTTTAGGGTTTACATGGGGGCCCTAGAAGAAAAGAGAAGATAAAGAGTACCCCTGAAGGGGTAGCGTTTCCCCATCCTTATGGAGGTTATTATAAACATAATTGTGCTGTAGCTGATGACAGCAATGGCCTGAACACAAACCCTAAACCCTAAACCCTAAACCCTAAACCCTTTTTTTTTTGGGTGTATACAGAAGCATACGCATCACCCTTTTGCAGCTCCTCTCAGTGTATAGAAAACATATCTAATGAGGGTTTAGGGTTTCTGTATGAGTGTGTTCGATGGTTTATGAGGGTTTAGGGTTTAGGGTTTATGAGGGTTTAGGGTTTACGTAGTTATCTTTGCCGTAGTTTATAAGATAAATAAAAGACATCAGCAGCTGAGGCAAATCCTCCAAAACCCTCATCAGCAGCTGAAAGGTCCACGTGAGCCGCTCAAACATAAACAAAGCCTGAACAAACCCTAAACCCTAAACCCTAAACCCTAAACCCTAAACCCTAAACCCTTGAAATTTTTCAAAACCCTCAAAACCCCAAAAAAAAAAACCGTCATAGGATCAAATGTTGTAAACCCTCATAAACCCTAAACCCTAGAATTTATAAACTTCACTCTAACAACGCTACACTCTGAACATATATTCAGAAACCCTAAACCCTAAACCCTCAATAAACCCTAAACCCTCAATAAACCCTAAACCCTCTACTCTGAGTCGTGAGCATCCGCACACACAGAACAACTGCTTCACCGCCACATGAACAACAGTTCAATACTCTAGGGTTTAGGGTTTAGGGTTTAGGGTCTAGGGTTTAGGGTCTAGGGTCTAGGGTTTAGGGTTTAGGGTT